AGCTGTGTCTCTGTACCAGAGGGAGCTTGACCTAGAGAGTTTATAATAACCTAATTAATTAGTTAATATTCCCATAGTGTTTTGAAGATGAAATGTGCGATTTAAATCCTATTATTATTGCTTCAACAGAATGATGAATGACACTGGAGTAGCCTGATTAAGGTAAAGCTTATGAAGATGGAATGTTGTATAGCGGTAACGGCTATAGGGCTTGGAATAATTTCTGGGTATGTTCTTGCCCTGGGGCTGAAGCTGTTTTTGCCTGAGCCCTGAAGCCAAAGCTCTCACTCAGTGTCTGAACTTGCTTCCTGCTTGAAGTCAGCTTTCCTTTGAAGCCTGAATCATGCCTAGGATGTGAACCTTGGAGCTATGTCATCTGCATCAGATACCCTGGACTTCAAAATATTTTGTTGGCCCATTGCCAGGTTTCCAGGGAGAGATACCGTGCGCATGCACACACACACACACACACACACACACACACACACACACACACACACAAACATACACACAGGGCAGCTGGTTGAGAAGGTTAAGAATTGTTTGATAAAACTTTGCTTTTATTTCAAATAAAATGAATATTTGGAGGGGCGGGGGAGATTGTCAGAACACTTTAAATCTATGAGTTTAGATTTTTTTTTTACCAAAACCTGAAAATATTTCTATAAAATGTTGATAAAAGTGTTTTAAGGAGGGGTGTGGGGGGGGGGGAATACACAGAGCTAGAAAAAGAAAAGAAACTGGGGTAGGGGAACAGAATAAACAGGATTGATTGGTTAAAACACATAATAGATGGCATCAAAGGATTAGAGATCTGAAGTGAAATTCTGACCCCAGTGAAGTCAGCGGCAGCTTCTGCTGGTTTCAATGGAACCCGAATTTCACCACTGGTGTCTAACTCCAGAATCTTAGGGCTGGTTAGACGTCAGTTTAGGGCTTTCAGCTAAACTTTGTCTTAACCTGAAAAATGGGTTTCAGGAAAGACCGATTGGAACAAAAGTCCACGCATTTTTATGGGATCTTAAGCTAAAAGTCCCTTATGTTTGATATTTAAAATAGATTGGCGCTTTCTTTTTAGAAGGATGGTCCAGTGTTTAAGGAACTAGCCTAGAAGATGCAAGTTTAATTCCCAGGTCTGCTATAGGCTTTGTGTGCTATTGGGTAAGTCGCTTTGGTCCAGACATCTGCAGGGACTTGGTTAATTCCAGTTTTCAGGTGCCACTGTGGTCCACAAAACTCCTACTTGGCTGCTGCCTCATCCTATAGGCATCTAACTTGCTGCTGCAAAAGTCCTGTAGGTATCTACGTTTTTGCTCCTGGGGATACAAGCTTCTGTCTCATTCTAGACATCCAGACACTTATTTCAAGCCTAGTCCCTAATGCAATTCAGGGAAGGTAAGAGTCTGCCCATTGATGAGGGCCCAATATAGTTGATGTGCTCTGAGCACAAATACCAAGTCAGACTCCACTCAACAAGCCAGCCAGTGCACACTCTCCCATCCTTCAGTTTTGTGGTTAAAGCACTCTTCTATGATGCAGGAGCCTCAGGGTGTGTCTAGACTACCTAGTTTTGTCGACAAAAGTGGACTTTTGTCGACAAAACTATACCAGCATCTACACTACCGCTGAGTTCTGTCGACATAACGTCGACAGAACTCAGCAGTTTTGTCGACGCTGGTATACCTCATTTTACGAGACATAACACCGTCTGTCGACAGAACTCTGTCGACAGAAGGTGTTATTGCCTGTAACATTGCGTCCAGAC